AGAGGAGGTGGAGGAGTGGCCCTGCTGATAAGGAAGGACTGGAGTTTTGATGAGATGGAAATTCCGGGCTGTGACGGATTCAGAGATTACATAACAGGAACTATAACAATGGGTGGACCTAAGATAATAGTGGCAGTCATTTACAACCCTCCCCTAAATGACAGAAGACCTAGACAGGAGTTTGATAGGAACAACATGGCAACCAATAATATAATAGAGAGAGCAGCTTCAGTTGCCTGCAGGAATGGCTCAAGACTCTTAATCATGGGCGATTTCAACCATGGAAAGATAGACTGGGAGAATGGGGACCCACATGGTGGTGCAGATACGTGGAGAGCTAAACTCTTGGAAGTGTCAACAAGGAACTTTCTGAGCCAGCATGTCAAGGAACCCACAAGAGTGAGAGGCAATGATGAACCAGCTAGACTCGACTTGATATTCACCCTGAATGAGTCAGAAATAAGGGAAGTCAAAGTTGAAGCCCCCATAGGAATGAGTGACTACAGTGTACTGACTTTTGAGTACTTGGTGGAGGTAGGGATAACCTATCCAAGGATGGGAGCGGAGGGAAAAAGACTGAATTACCGAAGAGGAAAATATGACGAGATGAGGAACTTCCTCAGGGGAATACCATGGGAAACAGAACTTAGAGACAAGAATGTGCAGGTCATGATGGATTTTGTCACCCAGAAGTGCCAGGAAGCTGCAGACAGGTTTATCCTCGTCCAAAAGGAGAAAAACGAAAAACAACAGAAAAACCCATGGTTCAATTAGGAATGCAAGGTAGCGAAGCAACAGAGTAAAAGAACATGGAGAAATTACAGAAATAACAGAACACCGGAGAGCAGGGAGAGATACCAGAGGGCCAGAAATGAGTACCTCAGAGTGAGGAGGGAAGCAGAGAGACAGTTTGAAAATGACATAGAAAGTAAAACCAAGACCTAACCAAAGCTGCTCCACAGCCACATCAGGAGAAAAACAGCAGTGAAAGAACAAGTGATGAAACTGCGAAAAGGGGAGAACAGATACACAGAGAATGACAAGGAGGTGTGTGAAGAACTCAACAAGAGATTCCAGGAGGCCTTCACAATAGAACAAGGAGAAGAACCTGCACTAAATGAGGAGGAGGCAAACCAAGCAACCTTGGAGGAATTTGACCTCACCAGTGATGAGGTCAAAAGGTGTCTGCTGGAGCTGGATGTGACAAAGGCTGTTGCCTGATAGAATCTCACCATAGACACTAAAGGAAGGCGCAGAAACACTAAGTGTGCCACTCTCTATGGTGTATAACAGGTCACTGGAAACAGGAGACTTACCAGAAAGTTGGAAGACCGCTAACGTGGTCCCAATATACAAGAAGGGTGACAGGCAAGAGGCACTGAACTACAGGCCAGTTTCCCTAACTTGTGTACCATGCAAAGTGATGGAGAAGATCGTGAGGAAAAGGCTCGTAGAGCACCTGGAGGGAAATAACTTTGTAACGCACCACCAACGTGGGTTCAGGGATGGTAAATCGTGCTTCACAGGTTTAATAGAATTCTATGACCAGGCAACAAAAATTAGGCAGGAAAGAGAAGGGTGGGCCGACTGCCTTTGATACAGTACCCAATAAAAGGCTGTTAAAAAAGTTGGAGCAACAGGCAAGAGTAAAAGGGAAGGTAAAAGAGTAAAGAGTATTCCCTTATCCACTTGGCTCCAGTGGATAAGGGAGCACTTAAGCAACAGGAAACAGCGAGTAACGGTGAGGGGGGAGACATCAGAGTGGCGAGATGTCACCAGCGGAGTCCCAAAGGGCTCTGTACTTGGACCCATCCTGTTTCTAATATATGTAAACGATCTTCCTGAGGGTATAGACTCGTTCCTCTCAATGTTTGCTGATGATGCAAAAATTATGAGAAGAATCAAGACGGATGAAGATAGACAGAGACTACAGGATGACCTGGACAAACTGGAGGAATGGTCTAGAAATTGGCTGCTAAAGTTCAACTCAGGAAAGTGTAAGGTAATGAAATTAGGCGAAGGGAGCAGGAGTCTGAACACAAGGTACCATCTGGGAGGCGAAATCCTGCAAGAGTCAAATAGAGAGAAGGATCTGGGGGTTGATATCACACCGAACCTGTCCCTAGAGGCCCACATCAAAATAATATCATCAGCGGCATATGCTAGACTGGCCAACATAAGAACTGCCTTTAGAAACTTGTGTAAGGAATCGTTCAGGACCATGTATACCACTTATGTAAGACCAATCCTGGAATATGCAGCTCCAGCCTGGAGTCCATACCTAGTTAAACACACGACAAAGTTAGAGAAGATTCAGTGGTATGCCACCAGGCTCGTCCCGGAACTGAACTGAGAGGAATGAGCTATGAGGAAAGCCTAAAGGAGCTGAACCTCACATCCCTGGAAAACAGAAGAGTAAGGGGAGACATGATAACCACCTACAAAATTCTAGGGGAATTGATTGGGTGGACAAAGACAAACTCCTCAGCACGGATGGGACACGAACAAGGGGACACAGGTGGAAACTTAGTACCCAGATGAGCCACAGAGACGTTAGAAAGAATTTTGTCATTCTCAGGGTAGTTAATAAATGGAATGCACTAGGAAGTGATGTGGTGGAGGCAACCCTCCTGCCTGCCTATCCACACACAGTAACTCCTGCCTGCTTATCCACACACAATAACCCTCCTGCCTGCCTATCCACACACAGTAACCCTCCTGCCTGCCTATCCACACACAGTAACCCTCCTGCCTGCCTATCCACACACAGTAACTCCTGCCTGCCTATCCACACACAGTAACCCTCCTGCCTGCTTATCCACACACAATAACCCTCCTGCCTGCCTATCCACACACAGTAACTCCTGCCTGCCTATCCACGCACAATAACCCTTCTGCCTGCCTATCCACACACAGTAACTTCTGCCTGCCTATCCACACACAATAATCCTCCTGCCTGCCTTTCCACACACAATAACCCTCCTGCCTGCCTATCCACACACAGTAACCCTCCTGCCTGCCTATCCACACACAGTAACCCTCCTCCCTGCCTATCCACACACAGTAACCCTCCTAACTGCCTATCCACACACAATAACCCTCCTGCCTGCCTATCCACACACAATAACTCCTGCTTGCCTATCCACACACAGTAACCCTCCTGCCTGCCTATCCACACACAGTAACCCTCCTCCCTGCCTATCCACACACAGTAACCCTCCTAACTGCCTATCCACACACAATAACCCTCCTGCCTGCCTATCCACACACAATAACTCCTGCCTGCCTATCCACACACAATAACCCTCCTGCCTGCCTATCCACACACAGCAACCCTCCTGCCTGCTTATCCACACACAATAACCCTCCTGCCTGCCTATCCACACACAATAACTCCTGCTTGCCTATCCACACACAGTAACCCTCCTGCCTGCCTATCCACACACAGTAACTCATGCTTGCCTATCCACATACAGTAACCCGCCTGCCTGCCTATCCACGCACAATAACCCTTCAGCCTGCCTATCTACACACAGTAACTTCTGCCTGCCTATCCACACACAATAACCCTCCTGCCTGCCTATCCACACACAGTAACCCTCCTCCCTGCCTATCCACACACAGTAACCCTCCTGCCTGCCTATCCACACACAGTAACTCCTGCCTGCCTATCCACACACAGTAACCCTCCTGCCTGCCTATCCACACACAGTAACCCTCCTGCCTGCCTATCCACACACAGTAACCCTCCTGCCTGCCTATCCACACACAGTAACCCTCCTGCCTGCCTATCCACACACAGTAACTCCTGCCTGCCTATCCACACACAGTAACCCTCCTGCCTGCCTATCCACACACAGTAACCCTCCTGCCTGCCTATCCGCACACAGTATCTCCTGCTTGCCTATCCGCATACAGTAACCCTCCTGCCTGCCTATCCACACACAGTAACCCTCCTGCCTGCCTATCCACACACAGTTACCCTCCTGCCTGCCTATCCACACACAGTAACCCTCCTGCCTGCCTATCCGCACACAGTATCTCCTGCCTGCCTATCCGCACACAGTAACCCTCCTGCCTGCCTATCCACACACAGTAACCCTCCTGCCTGCCTATCCACGCACAGTTACCCTCCTGCCTGCTTATCCACACACAGTAACCCTCCTGCTTGCCTATCCACACACAGTAACCCTCCTGCCTGCCTATCCGCACACAGTATCTCCTGCCTGCCTATCCACACACAGTAACCCTCCTGCTTGCCTATCCACACACAGTAACCCTCCTGCCTGCCTATCCGCACACAGTATCTCCTGCCTGCCTATCCACACATAGTAACCCTCCTGCCTGCCTATCCACACACAGTAACCCTCCTGCCTGCCTATCCACACACAGTAACCCTCCTGCCTGCCTATCCACACACAGTAACCCTCCTGCCTGCCTATCCACACACAGTTACCCTCCTGCCTGCCTATCCACACACAGTTACCCTCCTGCCTGCCTATCCACACACAGTAACCCTCCTGCCTGCCTATCCACACACACAAACACAGTAATCAGAAAGTAACATAATTATTGTATTCTTAATTTTCTTGCAATTTTATGTCAATACGAAACATGAAAACCCACATTAACTTCACTTAAATGCTTGGTCCACATAGAGCTTTAAGAATGTCTGTAATCATGTTATCAGGCGTTTAAACTCTACATATGCGCATATGATGCTGGTAGAGTACAGTGTCACTGCTCATACCTATCTTAGAGTGCGCGTCTTGCGCTCTGATATCATTCCTTTGTTTCTTGACTAGGTAAACTAGAGGTACAGACGATGTCTTGAAGGGAGTGAGGGTTCTAGATTTAATACATTATATTTCACTACCGTATGGTATAGGATACATTATTCGCGGGCAGTTTAAAATGTACCAAATACAACATCGACTTAATAAATTATCTACCAACTACAATATCTACCAAATGCATCACATTATAATGGAGATTAGGTCTTATTGTGAAGCAAGCGGGTTAGTAACTACCCTGGACGGGTAGATATTATATAACCTGGTATACAGGAGAGACAAGGGGCCCCCAGAGACGGTGGTAGGTGGGTCATGGCCCCCTAAGACGGTGGTAGGTGGGTCATGGCCCCCTAAGACGGTGGTAGGTGGGACATGGCCCCCAGAGACGGTGGTAGGTGGGTCATGGCCCCCAGAGACGGTGGTAGGTGGGACATGGCCCCCAGAGACGGTAATAGGTGGTACATCGGCCCCCAGAGACGGTGGTAGGTGGGACATGGGCCCCAGAGACGGTGGTAGGTGGGTCATGGGCCCCCAGAGATGGTGGTAGGTGGGTCATGGGCCCCCAGAGACGGTGGTAGGTCTCCATCTAAAATTGCAACTTGTATTCAAAATCTCCCACAAGCTGTGTGGAAGATAGTTGATTTAAGAAACACCGTCTAAGATACTGTCCTCCCCAAACCTCGCATCTCATCTCCTGCTCAAGACTTCGTTTCATGGAGGATTGCCTCCTGCCGGCACCCCCGAGGCCAGCACCTCCCTCTCTTACTCCATGAAAGGTATTTGTGATATATTGAAACTCATCAATATTGGTCATTGTTTTAAACAAGAGAGAGTCGCTATGGTTTAACAATCAACGAAGGGACAAGAGAAGATAAAAGAAGCCTTGGGAGGGTCTTATATATCCACAGTTTGATGTAAGATTTTCTTTTTCACACCAGAAAGCTAAGACACATAATAATAATAATATTAATAATAATAATAATAATATTAATAATAATACTCAGATAAATCATTAACACAATATATCAATGAACAAATCCACAAGAGCCTTATATAAAGGAGAACAAATCCACATATATATATATATATATATATATATATATATATATATATATATATATATATATATATATATATATATATATATATATATATATATATATATATATATATATATATATATATATATATATATATATATATATATATATATATATATATATATATATATATATATATATATATATATATATATATATATATATATATATATATATATTGGTGTATACTGGCAGCAGGTTTTCTTTCAAACATGTTTCATTGAATATGACCGCATATTCTGTATTTATTATTTTCTGGTTTAGGGCTTCTATCCCTCTAACTATTTTCTTAGCATCAGGGCTTAATTGAAATAGGAGTTCTCCAAAACTCATTTTCGTACTTTTAAGGTGAAGAAAAGAAGTGATTTACTATAGAATGTATTACACTTATTTATATAATTTGCACAACGTTTCGAACCTCCATGGTTCATTCTCAAGTGAACAGATCTTACAATACTAGTTGATTTTATACCCGCACTGGGTCAGGTGATAATACAATAAAGGTGAAAACATGTGGGGATACATAAGGGATAAATGTGAGGTGAAACATAGAGGCTGCAGAAGGCTTATTGGCCCATACGAGGCAACTCCTATCTAAACACAAAGATTAATCCAGTGTAATTGGCCTATTATGTTGGACATTGTCTTCTGTGTTGGCATCGATATGTTCTTGTCTTGTCCTTACTCTCACTTGTCTGTTCACTTGAGAATGAACCATGGAGGTTCGAAACGTTGTGCAAATTATATAAATAAGTGTAATACACTCTATAGTAAATCACTTCTTTTCTTCACCTTAAAAGTACGAAAATGAGTTTTGGAGAACTCCTATTTCAATTAAGCCCTGATGCTAAGAAAATAGTTAGAGGGATAGAAGCCCTAAACCAGAAAATAATAAATACAGAATATGCGGTCATATTCAATGAAACATATATATATATATATATATATATATATATATATATATATATATATATATATATATATATATATATATATATATATATATATATATATGTCGTACCTAGTAGCCAGAACGCACTTCTATGCCTACTATGCAAGGCCCGATTTGCCTAATAAGCCAAGTTTTCATGAATTAATTGTTTTTCGACTACCTAACCTACCTAACCTAACCTAACCTAACTTTTTTGGCTACCTAACCTAACCTAACCTATAAAGATAGGTTAGGTTAGGTTAGGTAGGGTTGGTTAGGTTCGGTCATATATCTACGTTAATTTTAACTCCAATAATAAAAATTGACCTCATACATAATGAAATGGGTAGCTTTATCATTTCATAAGAAAAAATTAGAGAAAATATATTAATTCATAAAAACTTGGCTTATTAGGCAAATCAGGCCTTGCATAGTAGGCTCAGAAGTGCGTTCTGGCTACTAGGTACGACATATATATATATATATATATATATATATATATATATATATATATATATATATAAATTCCAGCCCATCCTCCGAATATTGGGAGGTAAATATAACGGCACAAGTAAGTGTAATTATGTACTATTTCTAGCAGTCATGAATTGTACTTGTTTTCACTTAGTATTAAACATTCTATCAAATAATCGCCAGAATATTTGAGTTTACGTGAAAAACTGAATAGAAAACCATGACCTAACCTAACCTTCTTAGTGTATGAGGACAAGCATTTTATTGCTTCTTATTTACAATTAGTACTTAACCTATAGCTATAGTGATATTACAGTTTTATTAAATTAATAAAACAAAACTAAAATCTTTCAATATATTATAAAGTAACTCAGGATATTTTTAAAATTTGTATAAAATCTCTATTGTTTAATAAACTGAAAAACGAAAATTGGGAACATCAAATGATCTGATGTTCCCATCACTAAAAATCCTTTCCTTGTAATTACTCTCGTTAATAATTGAATGAGAATAGGGTTACAAATAGAGAGTTATATATTATTTAAATTCTCGTCAAATAATAATTAATATGAACAGTGTTCTTCTTAAACGAGAAATGGAGAGAATTTTCTGCTTCCTCCATGTTAGTTTGGGATAACAGATAAACTGTTATATAGTGATTTTTTTAGTTGATAACTCGTTGTTATTTGATCACTAGTTGTTATATTATCAGGTAGTAATTCTTATAAAGAATCCTTACAAAAGGCGATAATATTATTCAAATTCTTTGGCCTGTTGACAATATTTATACCTCTGCTGGGTATTATCTGACGCAATACTCTCCCTCTATGTGGCAAGAATTTGGTCAATGACGCGTAGATAGGAAAATATTAATTTATGTTAATTCTAATAATTAGTATATACTATGCATAGCATAAAATGGTAGTTAAATGTTGGTTTATTTCCAGGTGGTTCACCATGATGTTGGAGTGTGGTGGTGGTGGTTCACCATGATGTTGGAGTATGGTGGTGGTGGTTCACCATGATGTTGGAGTGTGGTGGTGGTGGTTCACCATGATGCTGGAGTGTGGTGGTGGTGGTTCACCATGATGCTGGAGTGTGGTGGTGGTGGTTCACCATGATGTTGGAGTGTGGTGGTGGTGGTTCACCATGATGTTGGAGTGTGGTGGTGGTGGTTCACCATGATGTTGGAGTGTGGTGGTGGTGGTGGTTCACCATGATGTTGGAGTGTGGTGGTGGTGGTGGTTCACCATGATGTTGGAGTGTGGTGGTGGTGGTTCACCATGATGCTGGAGTGTGGTGGTGGTGGTTCACCATGATGTTGGAGTGTGGTGGTGGTGGTTCACCATGATGTTGGAGTGTGGTGGTGGTGGTTCACCATGATGCTGGAGTGTGGTGGTGGTGGTTCACCATGATGTTGGAGTGTGGTGGTGGTGGTTCACCATGATGTTGGAGTATGGTGGTGGTGGTTCACCATGATGTTGGAGTGTGGTGGTGGTGGTTCACCATGATGCTGGAGTGTGGTGGTGGTGGTTCACCATGATGCTGGAGTGTGGTGGTGGTGGTTCACCATGATGTTGGAGTGTGGTGGTGGTGGTTCACCATGATGTTGGAGTGTGGTGGTGGTGGTTCACCATGATGTTGGAGTGTGGTGGTGGTGGTGGTTCACCATGATGTTGGAGTGTGGTGGTGGTGGTGGTTCACCATGATGTTGGAGTGTGGTGGTGGTGGTTCACCATGATGCTGGAGTGTGGTGGTGGTGGTGGTTCACCATGATGTTGGAGTGTGGTGTACCTCAATGGTGATGGACTGTGGCTCTGTACCTCAAGGTACAGTCCTTGCACCGCTACTGTTCCTTATTCTCATATCTGATAAAGACAAAAATACACGTCACAGCTTCGTGTCGTATTTTGCAGATGACACAAAAATCAGCATGAAAATTACCTCTGCTGAAGACATTGAAAAACTTCAAGCAGATGTCAACAAAGTTTTCGATTGGGCAGCAGAAAATAACATGATGTTTAACAGTGATAAATTTCAGGTACTCAGGTACAGCAAAAATGAGGATCTGAAACATAATACAGGGTACAAAACACAATCGAATCTTCCCATAGTAGAAAAACAGCATGTCAAGGATTTGGGAATAATGATGTCCGACGTCCTAACGTTTAGGGAGCATAACTAAGCAAATATTGCGTCAGCCAGAAAAATGATCGGATGGATTACGAGAACTTTCAAATCCAGGGATCCCATCACAATGGTTGTACTCTTCAAGTCACTTGTGTTGTCCCGTCTCGAGTACTTCTCAGTACTCACTTCCCCCTTCAGAGCAGGAGAGACTGCTGAAATAGAGGGAATACAGAGAACATATACAGCACGCATAGACGAGATAAAACACCTAAATTATTGGGATCGTCTCAAAGTTCTCCAAATGTACTCTCTAGAAAGGAGACGAGAGAGATACCAAATAATATACACTTGGAAAATACTGGAGGGCCAGGTCCAAAATTTACACGGTAAAATAACAACGTACTGGAGTGAACGACATGGAAGAAAATGCAAATTGAACCAGTGAAGAGCAGAGGTGCGATAGGCACAATCAGAGAGCACTGTATAAACATCAGAGGTCCGCGGTTGTTCAACGTCCTCCCAGCGACTATAAGAAATATTGCCGGAACAACCGTGGACATCTTCAGGAGAAAACTGGACTGTTTTCTAAGAGAAGTTCCGGATCAACCGGGCTGTGGTGGGTATGTGGGCCTGCGGGCCGCTCCAAGCAACAGCCTGGTGGACCAAACTCTCACAAGTCGAGCCTGGCCTCGGGCTGGGCTTGGGGAGTAGAAGAACTCCCAGAACTCCATCAACCAGGTATCAAGCAGGTGATGGTTCACCATGATGTTGGAGTGTGATGGTTCTCTGATACATGGTCCCTCTGATACATGGTGCCTCTGATACATGGTCCCTCTGATACATGGTGCCACTGGTGCATGGTCCCTCTGATACATGGTGCCTCTGATACA